TGAAGGACTATGACTGTGAGATCCTGTATCATCCAGGGAAGGCCAACGTGGTGGCCGATGCCCTGAGCCGTAAGGTGTCGGCGGCCCCTATCAGGGATTTGTGTATGAGGATGAACGGTGATCACTCCTTTGTTGGAGCGGATCAAGGAGGCTCAGATGGAGGGTCTCAAGGAGGAGAGGCAGAAGTGCGAGAGGATAGTGGGTCGAGTAGCTTCGTTCGACTACGACAGTCGGGGCTTGATGACGCTTCATGGTAGGGTGTGGGTACCGTACTGGGGTGGAGTACGGCAGGTATTGATGGACGAGGCTCATAAGTCTCGATTTTCTATCCATCCAGGGGCGACGAAGATGTATCGAGATCTTCGACCTGATTATTGGTGGCCCTGCATGAAGCGGGACGTCGCTTGGTACGTTGAGAGGTGCTTGACCTGCCGGAAGGTCAAGGCGGAGCACCAGAGACCTCACGGCAAGATGCAGCCGTTGGATATTCCCGTGTGGAAATGGGAGGACATCACCATGGATTTTATCACCAAACTTCCCAGGACCGCACGTGGAGTAGATTCGATATGGGTAGTGGTGGATCGGTTGACGAAGAGTGCCCATTTTATTCCGATCCAGGAGAGTATATCGGCGGAAAGGTTAGCCGATATCTATGTGCGAGAGATTGTGGCACGTCATGGAGTGCCGGTATCGGTAGTGTCGGACCGAGATGTTCGCTTCACGTCCAGATTCTGGAAACGGTTTCACGACGAGATGGGTACTCGTCTCCATTTCAGCACCGCTTTTCATCCTCAGACTGACGGGCAGAGCGAGAGGACGATTCAGACTCTTGAGGACATGCTTAGGGCATGTGTTCTAGATTTTGGGGGCGGTTGGGATACGTATCTTCCCTTAGCGGAATTCTCGTATAACAACAGCTATCATGCGAGCATTGATCGACCTCCTTTTGAGATGTTATACGGCAGGAAGTGCAGGACCCCGATATGTTGGGAGTCGGTCAGGGGTCATGGGGAGCACGAAGTGGTGCTCAAGACGACGGAACTGATCCAGCAGGTCCGTAGTAGACTGCAGACTGCGCAGAGTCGGCAGAAGAGCTACGCCGACAGGAGGCGTTCAGACTTGGAGTTCCAGGTGGGAGACATGGTTCTTTTGAAAGTCTCACCTTGGAAAGGTGTCATCAGGTTCCGGAAGAGGGGCAAATTGGGCCCCAGATTTATTGGTCCTTTCAGGGTTTCGGCCCGGGTGGGTCGGGTTGCTTACCGGTTAGATCTTCCTGAGGAGCTCAGTTTGATACACAACACCTTCCACGTGTCGCAGTTGAGGAAGTTTTAGTGGACGAGACAGCGGTCGTTCCCTTGGAGGATATCCAGGTTGATAGCGGCCTGATTATATCGAGAAGCCGATAGCAATTCTGGAACGGAAGACCAAGACCTTGAGGAACAAGGTGATCCAGCTGGTAAAGGTGCAGTGCAGCACCGGAAGGGGTCTGAATGGACATGGAGGCTGAAGAAGAAATGAGAACGCAACCCCGGAGTTATTCGCAGATCCAGCCGTAGCAGACTTGAGGACGAAGTCTGAGACAAGTGGGGGAGAATTGTAACGACCCGTTTCCGGTATGTTAATTAATTTGATTTTGGACTAAGTTTTTTAAGAGGGACTCGGCAGTTCTAGCCTGACTCGCCGAGTCGGGTCGCGCATCTTGTGCACGCGGGAGCCGGGACTCGGCGAGTCCATACCCTGGACTCGG